AAATAATATGAGAAATATAAAAAATAAATTAAACAAAACACTGAAATCCTAACAGAACCATTTCTCCATCCCTTTTGATGGTTAAACACAGAAACCAGCCAGAACCAGTGGAGGTCCAGTTTATGCCTGATGAATCAGATTATTGTTGATTTGTTTTCTGGAAATGAAAGCAGCTGTTTGCCTCCAAATGTTTCAGTTTCAGGTTCTCCTGCAGCCCGTCACCGACAGCAGCGCGTTTGACTTGCAGATGCCTCGTTGGGAGCTTTCTTAGACACGGCGTTATTAAATGAATGCGGTCGACAAGGCGGGCGGCGCCGTAAATCCTCCTTTATGAAGGCTTTTATTGGAAGAGTTGCCGAGCGGCGTAAATCCAGCTGCAGGATCAGCGAGGAGGAAGCAGTCTGCGCTGCCGGGAACACCTTTTGTTGTGTTTATTAGCCTGCACTCAGTGATATTAACGAGGCCCTGAAAATAATGGAAGCACCTGCCAGAGGAACATGACGGCAGATAATCAGTTAATATTTTAATTCAACATGTAATTCAAGAGTCGGAATAAACTGGAGAAATCCTCCTGCTTTCCTCCAGAGGTCCTGATAAACCTTTAGGACTTAAACTGAAGAACCTCCGTTGATGGTTTGGTTGTAGGGACAGGAGCGCCTCAGGGACGGGACTCGGACCTCCAGCGCAGGTCAGACTCCAATCACCACAGAAAGACTCGGATGACTCAGCAGTCGTCAGGCGGACCAGAGAAGCTGAGGAGTTCAGAGTCTCATCAACAACTCCTGCAGTGGCAGCATCAGAACCAGGGACTCAGGTTGCTTCCTCCTGATGGTCCCGGTTCCACTGGAACCAGAACTCCATCATCTGCTCCTCCACCTCCAGCTGCTGTGGTTCTGAGTCCAACCAACCTGTTCCCCTCCTGGCCTGTGGGGGCGCTGCACCAAGAACCACTGAAAGAAACGACACAAAAACCTCTGAAGACACTGAGAGCAACTTCCTTCTTCACCAGATGGAAACAAGATGGAGGCGTCAGATTTTAGCGGTTGGAGGATTTCTCTTTAGTCTTTGGCTGAAGACCAGGAGCCATTTCTGCTGCTAGCGCTAGGCTAGCAGCTTTGGTTGTATTTACCCAGAATGCCTTGCGCTGTAGTCCAATTCCTGCTTTTGGTGCGGTCTCTGGTTCGACTGGCGTTCAAACCAAACCAGAGTTCACTTCAACCAAACCCAGACCGAGGTTTGGAGGACCAGAGGTCAGAGGTCATTTAGCATTCACACCAACCGGACCGGACTTTGACTAGGCAGATGGACTGGAGTTGGATTAAGGTGGACTGAACAGAGCTGGAGGGAATGATGCCGCCTTAAAAAGCTAAACTAGCTAATAACAGGAAGCTGGTTCTGTTCTGTGGTTCATATATGAAAAACATTATGAACATGAGAGAGAGTGTCTTCAGTCAGAAGCGCTTGCAGATTTTGTCATACAGACTGCTACAGCAGCAGACATCAGCCTCAACAATGACAGTTAAATCCCACTTATGGTTACTAAATGATTCTTTAAATTGAGTTTGTAACTGAATGAAGCTTTTTAGTGCAGAAACATGAATAAACACTGAAAATCTAATTTTACACCAAAAAAGAAAAAAAGATAAAAATCTGAATATTTGAACAGGTCTAACAATAAATGTTAGGAGTGGGTTTTAAATGTAAAAATCGTCCTTCAAACATTCATTTATTATCCAGAGACAGATTAATGAGGCTGCTGTTGAGCAATAAAACCAGCGCGGCGGCGGCGGCGGCGGCGGCGGCGGCCTCTCAGGAGGTCGGCAGGCTCGGCGTTAAACCCTCGGCCCCAAAGGCGGCAGAGTTTCTGAGCGGCTGATGGAGGCAGCCGAGTCCGGCCTGCTGCATTCCTCACACGTCCAGCAGCAGAAACCATTAAGAAACAGACAAATCACTCAATTAAAGCAGCGCAGTGAGGACTTCTGTTGGGCGTCACGTTTAAATCACGCCGACTCTTATCTGGGCTAATTCCATTAGAACGCGGACGAGAGGAAGAGAAGCAGTCTGGGAATTATTCCATGTAGGCTAATTCAGCTGTCTGAGCCTGGATGGATGGAGGTAATTTGGCTTGAATGAGAATAATGACGGGTGGAGGGGGGGAGATGGAGGCCACAGGATGGAAGGGTTAAAGCTGGGGTGTCCAAGCTGGGGGGCGGGGGCCATTTATAGCCCCCAGGCCGACTTCCTACGTCCTGATGCAGATGGAGACGTTTTATTTTTAATTATTACAGACATTTCATCCCAAACAAAGTCACTCATATCTGACTTCCACTCCAAAGCAGACTTTGGTGAACCAAATTCTGCTAAAATGGCTTCAGTGAAGAAAAGACTGAACCAGTTCCAGCTTTTATTGCTGAGACAAAAAATTCAATCTAGAAGAATTTACAAAATGGATTACCTTTTCTTTTTTAATAAGGCAAATGGATACACCCCTCGTTAAGCTTCGCATCGACACTGATTTACACGTCTTCTTCCTACTTTATGTAACAAAGAGGCAGTGGTGAAAAAATATGTACTGGCAGCAGGGGGGCATCCGCTAATCCGCTAACACACTAATAGCAGGGCTAATTTCCCTTTAGCAGTCTAGCTAACTTTGAAAATGTTTAGCAAACTTAACTTCCCTTAATTTAGACAAATTCTAAAATGAATAAATTCATAAATGAGCTAAATTAAACACAGACAGCAGAGAAAAAGATATAAACAAATCCAATAGCTGAGGGTAAAACAGAACATGTAATTATTGTGTCAAAGTTAAATTGTTGCTTAAGGGCTGCAGTGTTTCAAGCAGAGATGAAGTTAGTGTTTAGCATTAGCTTCCCCTAAGTACCATGATGGTGTAGCGGTTTAGCATTAGCATCTATCTCTTTAGTTGGCAGACCCACCACTGCATTTTGGATGCTCCTATTTTGTGGCGCAGGTAAAAATGTGATGTTTTTGTGATGCCAGTGGCGCTGAGCGGCGCTGGAGAGGGGTTAGCTCACCTCTCTCCGATGTAGCCGGCGGTGCACTGACAGACGCCGCTGATGTGGTCACACAGGCCTCCGTTCCGACACGTGCACTCCTCGGAGCAGTTGATGCCGAACCAGCCGAAGGGGCACGGCTGGGCGCACACCGGACCCTGAGGAGGGAGGCAGGAGCGGGTCAGAACAAACTCACATGTTCACTCACATATCAGCAAGGCTGGTTCACATGTTCTACTCTGTGCACATTTATTGTAAAATAAAGTATTTTATATGTACTGGATGTATTCATAATTTGAGTCAAACCTCTGCTGACCGGTGATATTTCACCAAAGTCACTAATGATTTGGCAGCTTAAATGACTTGTTTCTGTGTAAGTCATTGTTAAACGGATCGAGCTTCAGCTGTTGGACAGATGGATCCACATCTGACTCTAGAAAACTTTGAGGAGATCCTGGTCCAATCCGTGACTGCAAGGCTTCCAGGTTCCCAAACCATCATACCTCCACCACCGTGCTTGGCACATGGTTGCAAAGCATCCAGATGCAGTTCTGGTAAGCTAACTCCTGCTATCCACCATCTTGTTTCTGGAGGGAAGCAGAGTTCTCCTCCGGCCGTTGAAGCAGCCATGCTGGTTCAGGTCAGGCACTTTCTGCTGTAGGACTGAGCTTCTTCTTCTCTGCTGCTGCATGTTTACATTCTGGTAAATAAAACACTGCTGGTAATCTTAGCCCAGGTCTACAGAACGGATGGTGTTTTAGTTGTACTGTGACACTAAAGGTGTTCCATACTGTTTCGTGTTGCTCTGATTTCCTCTGTCTGGTGCAGTGAGAATGTTTCTGATGGTCTGCAGCGGGGCGGCGGCGTGCGGGGCCATACCATCCAGCCGGGCGGGCAGTGACACTCCCCGGTGACGTGATGGCAGGTTCCTCCGTTCTGACAGGAGCAGCGCTGTTCGCACATGGAGCCGTGTTGACCTGGAGGACAGGGCTCCTCACAGCTGCAGGAGACAAACAGAAACATCTTCATCTGCAGCAACACAGGCGGGGAAAGATGCTGACTTCATCCGCTCACACAGAAATCTTTATTTGCATATTTCAGCAGCAAAAGACAGCAGGAGAAAACCTTCCCCCTACTGAACCTCACTGAGTTACGATCTGAAAATTAGCATAAATTCCTTCCCATATCTTCATCATATATTGTATTCCTGGGGAAAAGTTGATTGAAGACACAAATTAATGTCTCAATGTGGCAAAAAAATTGTTAAAAATCTAGAAAAAAATCTTCCAGATTCACTTTCTTCTCAATTCTGCAGTAATTTTTAATCAAAGTCTATTTTTATGGAACATTTCAAAAAGTGTTTTACATCTTACAAGTCACCAACTGTGAAACCAGCAACAAACATTACATTTTATCATCAAACATATTGATCCATGTTCCAGTTATTGTTAATCAAAGGCAGCTGTGGGTTTTTAGCTTAGATTTAAAGGAACTCAGTCGCTGCGTTTCCATTACTAATACGCTAAAACTTTGTCAATATTCCACTAATGTAAAAAAAATGCATTTGATGTTTTTCCATTAGATAAAAAAAATGCTATTAAAATACATGAATAAGTTTGTTTGTGCAATAATCCATTAAAAAAACACAACGCCATCATCCTCCAACTACTTCCTGTTGTCTTCTTTGTCATTTCTGGCAGTAGTAACATCCAGCGGCTGATCACATGACTGCAAACTGCAGATTCCATTGCAGTTTGGTAACACAAGGTAATTCTGATACAGAAAAAAAACATCTTAACGACGTCACATCCTGGGTTATTCTGAGTTGTTTTGATGTTTTGATTGTTTCCAGTTTCATTATTATTCTGTTTCATCGTTGCTTTTTTTGATTAAGTCAGCCTTGTTTCTGTTTTACCTTTGTTCTGTTCTTCTTATGCTGATTCTAGTTTGTTTATTTTTTTTTATTTGCTCTTTGTGCTTTTCTGGTGTTTTTTGTTCTCCTCTGGCTCCCTGAACTCCCTGTGATTTTTAGTTTAATCTTTAAAGAAGATTCAGCACGACCCATGCTCCCAGCTCCTGTCTATATTTTGATCCATCTGCAAACTCAAACCCAAGATGAGCACAAAAAACTTCTTATCAAACAAAAACAGAGTTTATTTTAAATTGCTGTGTTTCCATTAAGTATATTTATTTTTGTGATTCCAGTTCGGTCGTTATGGTGACTGAAATGCAGTTGGTGTTTCGACTGTTTTGCAGTTTTCTGGGAGTTTGTTCCAGATTTGTGGTGCATAGAAGCTGAATCCTCCCTGACTGACCGGAACCAGAAAACCTGAGTGGAGAACTGATCCATCAGCAGCAGCAGCAGGTCTTTAACGTATTTCAGTGATTTACAAGCTAACAGACGTATTTATTTGGTGACTTATTGTGCGTTTTGTTCTGGTGGAGCCACTCACAAGCTGCCAGTGTAGCCAGGCGCGCAGAGGCACTCCCCGCTCTGGTGGTGGCAGGTGGCGCCGTTGAGGCACTGGCACTCCTGCATGCAGTCTTTGCCGTAGAGGTTGTGGTGGCAGTGCTCCTCGCAGCGCCAGCCCTGGAAGCCGTCGGTGCAGACGCAGGCCCCCGTTATCGGGTTGCATTTGGCCCCGTTGCGGCACTGGCAGCGGTTGGTGCAGTGGGGGCCCCAGAAGTCGCTCTCACAGCCTGAAGAGAGGCGGGAAGAGGTAAAAACTGGGAGAGAAAAGATCACTGCAAAACAGATGGAGAATTTTAATTGTAAATGTTTTAGTTCAGAAAGTAAATATTATTTACATTTTGGAAAATCAAAATGCAGCAGGATATTAAGAAAACTGTTGATTCTTTATCTTTGATTTAGTTTATTTGTAACAGAAAGTTCAATGTTTATAGTTTGAGAATTATAAATAATCTGAGTTTTGATAATATTTTGGCAGTTTGGTCTAAAAACAGGTTTGTTCTCTGTGTAAATCTTAACGTTGGCAGTTAAATGAAAACACAGTGAAGTTGTGATGTTGGTTTTCTGCAGGTTTGTGACAAATCTTCACACTGTGAGGTTTTTAGCTCAGCTTCTAATCAAGCTGAGCTCCGTTTAAATCTTCTACACACATTTCCTTGCTCTCAATTAATATTTCATAAAGGAATTTGGTTAATTATTACAGCTGATGATTTCAGTGGGAGACAAATTGTTTTCATGTCATGAAGGAGATTAAAATGGAACGGGGAGGTGGGAGCTGCTCACTTAAATGCATCTCTGCTAATTGGTTGTTTATGGATGTTTGCATCATAAACAGCAGAAATATTTCCATGTATGTCTGACGGCTTCTCCGCTGAGGTCCTTCTGGAAAATGTCCAGATGTCACCTGTTGGCTCCGCCACTGAGAAGTTTCTCCTCTGATCCAGAACCGTCTGAGGTTCTGATCACGATGACAAATATCAGAACAAAATTAAGTCAGAAGAATTACAGTAACAGGTCCAGATGGCACTGTTAGCAAAGTTCAGATGGTCAAGCGACAAAAACCCAAACACTGAGCTGAGCAGAGCAGGACCAGTGACCCCCAGTGACCTTGGCAGCCCCATGTGGCCTTTGGGGGCCAGATCTAAACGGCCCTATGAAGGACTTTCAGGGTCATATTAAACCTTAATGGGCCTATGTGACCTTGGAGCCATATTAGTGACCTTAATGACCTTAATATGTGACCTTAGCCAAAATGTTAGGGGCCAAATTCATTACTTTAGTAGCCACATTGTTGACTTTAAATGCCCTATGAGTGAATTAAATGCTACATTAGTGACCTTTATGGCCCTATGGGTGACTTTACAGTCACCCATAGGGTGATTTTTTTATCTTAGTGGCTTTATCAGTGATCTATAACGATCCCTTCAGAATGGCTCATTTCATCAGATGTGTTGCAAAAATCCTCAAAAAGTGGAACAAAACTCTAAATAAATTCAAAGTTTTCTTTCTGAATCTGAAAACCCAGATCAGCCTGGTCTGCCTCGTGAAATGAGTAAAATTCGTTTCATGTCCAACATGATGACAGCTGTCTGGACCTGCTTGAGCATTCGCTCCACATTCCCTCCGATGTTAAAGAGGACAAACGTCTCCGTGTTTAGCATTCAGGTTTGAATTAGCTGCAGACTGAAGGAATCATCTGGGAGAATTAAATGTGACCTCTGCTGCTGAGGAGGAACCGCCTGCTCCAAATCTCTGATTGTTCCTTCATCCTGGGTGGAAATTCCTCCTCTTCCTCAGATGAGCAGCAGCAGGTTATTTTAGATTAAGCTGGAAGCAACAGGAGGTTTATTCTGCTGGCCGAAGCTGAAGCAGAGCCGAGTGGAAACAAACTGTTCGACATGCAGCTCCGGAGGATCTGCATCAGATCTTCACTCACTCTCTGGCTCTCAGACATGAGGACAGACGCAGATTTAGACTCTTATCGGCTTCACAGACGAACGCCGCAGCGAACAGACTCCTCAGATTTGTAGAGAGGAGACGAATCGAGGAGAAGAAAGATGAGAAACATGTTTCTTATCCGAGATCTGAGGGGCGGAGGCAGGAAGTGGCAGCTTCATTCATAAAACACTCGCGTTTTTCTGCTCTCAGTTTGGTGATGGGATGCTTTTCAGGAGAAGCCTTTCCTCCAAGCTGCTCCCAATATTTACTTTACAGAAGTCGTACAGTAAGGTGATGAATCGTGGAAATATTCCAGAACCTGATGGGAAGCTAATGGGACGGAAAAAACATATTATTGTGTTTTATCTGAGAAAGGCACTTCTGTGTTTGATGTATGATGATAGGCTGAGCGGAGGGACTCTGAGTGAACGGCCATTTGTTAGGAGGAAAACCCGGGAAACGTTGCGACCAGCGGGAGGATAAATGGAGGCGATGGCTTTTTTCTGGAGTCATGGGTGGCACTTTCACAGATATTCCAGCGCTAAATGTTTCATCAGGGCTGTGGTGGACAGAGCAGACAACGCATTCATCACATCAACACTCTCCTCCTTTTCAATCTTTCCCTAATTTACTTCCTCCTGTCCGCCGTTTCCCTCCTCCCGTCTTTCTCTCTAAGACTCAGAGTTTCTGCTCACTTCCTCTAACTAGTGAGCCGGCACAGTCAAATCCTTTATCCTCACACCGCCTCAATTATTCAGCAGCAAAGAGTCCAAATCAAGTGACTAATGACTTTGATCAAGAGTAGCTCGCTGGCACTAAGGAGAACTTTCTGCACTAAATTAAGAGCAGCATAATATGAGCTGGCAAAGGCCAACTGCTGCAGGATCAATTGGAGGTTTGTCCACAGCGGCTCTCACCTCTCAGCGCCAATAATAAACCCACAAGCTGCTGATTCTCTCTGCTTTCTGAGAAAAACGCCGCAGAGACCAGAACGCGTCTCCAACAGAGGAGCCGCGTAAAATAACTACATTTACAGTAAAATAACTGGAGAGAGGCACGCAGACAGAAAGAAGCTGGAATCCAGCTGGTTTTGACCCAACCGTGACTCAGAAGTCTCATTTTCCTCTGGTCAGTGAACGCATCTTAGCCCTTCCAGGCTGGACGTCAAAGACGCGCCACTAATGAGAGGATAAAAGTTTTCCAGCATCAGAGAAGCATGAGCATCACACCCGAGAGGCACTGAAACCTACACATGACACAAACAAAACATACCAAATGGTGCAATCACAACTGATTGGACCATTATTTTCTAAGGAAATTATTTTTCTTTTTGCTTCCATGTCCTGCAGTTGCAACATTTTCTGTTTGTATTCATTTTTTATGTTTGTGTTTTATGGAGTTTGCATCATTCATGTGTTTTTGCTGCACATTTTGTCTTTAATCCACCTGAATGAGACTGATGTCTATAACAACAATACAACAGATACAATGGCCTAGTCAAAGTGCAGAGCTCAGACTGGCCTGAAGCAGCGGTGGAAGTTCCTCCATGTCGGCCTGATAAACCAGACAGGAAGTGATAACTCAGCTGCTGGTTTCTGAAGCGGCGTCAGACGTTGTAACTCTTTACTCGATGGTTTCACTGCATGTTTGGAGGAAATAAAATGTGTTCAGGAAGCTTGTAATCATCAGCACTTCTGCCTGCTGGGCGGTCACCATCCCACGGATTTAAACCTTTAAACCATGAGGAACGTTTTTCTTTACAAACAGCGGCGAGTCGGCCGACAGGAGGCTGAAACCGACCAGCAATTACAGGTCATTACGGCTCTGACTCATCAACGTCTGATACACGGCAACGCAGAAAAAACAAAACCCAGAGGAGGAGAAGGACTGCTTTAAGGAGGAGGAATGAAAGGAAAGCAGCCATGAAGGTGAATAATCGACTCAGCAGGACGAACTGAAGACAATTAGAGACTTAAAGGTTCACAGAAGGAGAAATGAAGTCCAGGACGAGTCGGAGCCGATTTCAGGTAAATCCAGGTTTAAAACGAGTCACAGCGTTCTGCTTCCCCTGCAGGAAGGAGACTTTAGCAGCTTAGAGAGGAACGACTGGAGGACACCTCAAGAAATTAAAACTGCCGCTTTGTTGTTTGTACAGAAACAAACTGAAACTAATTCCTGCTTAAAGTCCCAGTCAGCAGGATTTAAGGCAAAGTGATGATCCTGTTTGGTGCTGATCCATCCCATCACGACTGCTGCTCTGAAGGCTGAATCTGGACGTAATGCAGTTTGATAAGGAGGAGCCCAGAGGAAGCTGCTGCTGCTCGCTTTTAATCAGAAAACCGCTGGAGAACGACGAACCAACTAATATCACTCAGCTCTCCTCATGCAGCGACTCAAAGCCACTTCACACCGTTTCACGGGCTCAGCGTCCAGCCTGACGACTCTTCAGCCAGGAGCCGGAATCAAACCCGCAGGTTCAGATCAACCAGATGGAGCAAATCCAGACAGCAGCGTTCAGGTTTCATTCTGCTGTCGGTGCTAAATGACATGCTGTTCCCTGAGGCGTACCACAGGGCTGTGTGCTGGTTCACCTGATTCTTCAGGTGATCCGTCCGTTTCTTTTTGTGGAAACTTGACACTCTGGAAGTGTGCATCAGGCTACATTCACACTCAGATCCGACTTTTTCACCGCAGTCTGATCTTTTCACGATCTGAGCTGCTTCCAGATCTATCGGAACTAAATCCGATAGTTTTCAAAGCGTCTGCAGGCTGAACGCTCAGGTCGCATTTTATCCCACTTTTCCATCGTTCACGTGAGACATGGACGCAAACAACATCTGAAAATGATCATAGTGAAGTGATGAAAGCAGACTGAGTCAGTGAACGCATCACATCCCAACGTCCTGGTCCGATTCCACACCCAAACTGGACTGGGTCAGAACCGGGTCAGAAGCTGCAGCTCCACTAAAGGTTGTTTGCTGTTAGCTTTCTGTTTATCAGCTTCTTCATCTGCTGTTGCTCTCAACAGCTTCAGAGACGGCGGCCATCTTTACTGCCACTGTGGGACGGCTATGTTCTTCTTCTAGGGTCGCTTTGGGTCGGAACCGTTCACACAGAAGTCTGACTGCGTTCGGGTTCAATTAGTAGGAGGAGCAAATGCAGAAATAATTAGACTTCAGCAAAACGTCAGAATTTGAGCCTCAAGAGTAGCAGAAAAAAATTTTCAGCTTTATTTTTAATCATGTCAGTTCTGGTCCTCCATACAGAACCAGGATTAACTTAAATAAATGTA